AAATCAGTTGATGTAGTTCAGGTGGGGAGCTGCGTCAGGATGGGTAATAAAAGCCATTGAATATGCTGTCAGGGAAGGACAGGTTCCTAAAGGTATAGAAGAACCCCAGGTGAAGGCAAACCCGATAGCAATACATAAATAAGATGGGAGAGGGCAACCAGACTGATTTTTGCCAATGTATGTGACAGTTCCAAATTATATTTTAGTCCCCAAACAAATCTGCACTAAAATGTCCTAAACTAGCACGAAAGAAAGTTTTCTGCAAATCGTTTATCAACCTCTGCAGCAAGAACTTTTTAATTAAACCGCTAAGTGTTATTAAATTAATCAGTATGTAATTAGTATGGTCTTACTTTCAATGCCCTCTTCAAACTGTTTGGAAACGGAGGTAATTAAAATTCTTATTTCAGTGTAAATGTGGAGCTCACTGTAAAAAGAGCTTTGAGGCTCTTGGCTATCTTCTCATCTTTACTGAGAAGAAATGAGAGTAATTCCAGCAACCTGGAAACGATTAAATAGAGCTGATGGGTGTGCCGTTGCACATTGATGAACAAAGGGGAAGAAATTTGCACTCCGACTTAGCTGTTTTGTGCAGTTACTCTGCCTTATTTAACATACAAGCAGTGGTGCCGAATTTTCAAAGCTCTTCCTATTACTTTTCAGAAAATGCACATTAGTTATGTCCAGTTGTCAGCTGAACTGGACTCTTATACCTCTTCATGATCTTCACTTGTATGACCAGTCTGGTTATTTGACTAGACGAATGGAGTCGCTCACTTTCTGAATGGGGTTAATAAAAAAAAGCAATGACTAATCTGAAAGAGACCTGGAAAACACTGGTTCTAACGTGTACAAACTGTACTTTAATTCAACCATCCATAAACAAAAAGTATTGTACTTGGATTTTCTTAGTCTCCGGTCTTCAGCTGCTAGTTAAGTAGGATTGTGCTTTGTCTTGCTGCAGAACTGGAATCTATCCTTCACGGACACTGGGCATCCCTGTTTACCTGAAGTACCAGTGGATGGCTTTCAGGACTGGAAGATCAACAGGAAGGAGTCTGAAAGAGCTGGGAAAGATTCGTGTGGCTCTGTGGAGGAAGGTCATCTGAAGGTTATTACTGAATGTCTGAAAGAGCCCTGAACTGTTTCTCTTGGCTGGCGGCTCCCACTGTAGTCACTCGACTAAATACTCCTAGATTCAGCAATTGTGACTATGGAAATATAGATCTGAATATTTTTTCACAATGTTTTGTATAAACTGATTTTTCTGTATGTTTTTACATGTGGCATTATACTTACATTGGCTATCAAAAGTATTCACCCCTGTTGGACTTTTTTCCATTTTACCATGTTACCATGTGGAATCATAATTTATGTAATAATGGATGGATGGGAGCTGTTGGTACATTTTCAACTCCTGCCAGTAATTCTTGATTGGACTGAGATCTGGGCTTTGATTTGGTCACCCCACAACAGTGAGCTTTCTTTTTCTAAACCACTCCAGTGTGGCTTTGGTTGTAGGTTGTGGGTCATTGTCCTACTGGAATCTTCACCCAAGTCTCGCGTCTCTTGGAGACTGCAGCAGGTTTTCTCTGTACTCCCATTTTTCCTTCTGTCTTCAGGGGTTCCTAAAGCAGTGAGGCATCCCCCTACCACGATACTGACGAAATTAATGCCTTATGTTCTTGATTCCTTTATATTTAACTACTGTGCTTTGGAGAATACGTAAGGCCTTGGAAATGTTCTTACACCCTTCCCCTGATTGGTGCTTTTCAATAAGCCTATCTCAGATTTGCTCTAAAGGTTCCTTTGTCTTCCTGATGTAGCTTTAGTAATCCACTGTGGGACCTCCCAGAGATAGGTATATTTATCCTGAACACCTAATTGCACATAGGTGAACTCCATTCAACAATTTATGCGACTACTAAAGACATGTGGCTGCACCTGAGCCTGTTTAGGTGGGTCATGGTAAAGGGGGTGAATTCTTATGCAATTACTTATTTTCTGTGTTATTTCTGCTGTGAGGGGCGGGCAGGGGACATAGCCGCGAGGCTGACCGAGTGGGCTGAAGGCTGGGGCTGCTGAAAGACTGTTAGCTGAACACAGGAATTATTTTGTTAGATGAATAAACGACAAAGAGGAAGATTCTTGATTTTGCTTTATTTGGTTTCCCTTGTAATTACAAGAACCTGTCCTTTAAGTCCCTGAATTTGAACAGGAGAAATGAGTGCAAGAGGATCAGTCCCTCTGAACTTTAGCTCTTCACTATAAGTAAAGCGGTCTGAACCTTAATTAAATGATTAAGAGATGACTGAGCTTATCGGAAAGGGATCTGCTTTTGGTGAAAGGTCTTCATTTCACTGCTTGAGTCCTGTAGTGATCAGTCACTTCACGCACATGCAGAAAGACTCCTCTTAGTTTAGTGGTTCTGGTCTTGCCTGGCTTTCAGAGCCAGTATGGCCTTTCTGTAGAGGTCTGGGGAGAGAAATTATTGTTAGTGTCCAAGGGAAGCACCAGTTTATTAGACCGTTTCATTATTAATCCATCCAAATAGTCTATTCGGTGCAGGAACTAAAGCATCTTTCTATATACTGTACATCATGACCTTTCTGATCCCAAAACAGACAGTGCTTCATGGTTAAAGACATAGATGCTGCACAAAGTGCAGATATGCTCTGATGCAAAATATGTTGGTGCATGAAATGTCTGCAATTAATAAAATAAAATCTTACCAAAAGTAGTGGAGAGATCCACGGGCTGTGGGTGAGCTGTCGGCACTTCTTCAGAATTTATTTTATTTTTCTTCTTTACTGTTTTTGTCTTTTTCTTCTTTTCTGGTTTGCCTAATGGTGAAATACACTCTGTAAATATGGGAACATTAAAACAGGCAAAGTCACCCCAGCTCATCCTGTTTGACCTTAAGTAGACTTCCCCCTTGGATGGATGCTGGTTCAGTGCAGGTATTCCCCCCCTCACCAATACCGATCCCCCCTTATACAGCTTGGGGACTGGAGGGTAGAGGGGTACAGCAACAAGGAATCGAACCCTAGGCCTGCCAGTCCACCTCGAGTCCAAAGGCTCACCCATTACGCTACGCCATGTCCATGGAGGAAGCTAAATGATTTTTTTCTATGGCTTAAGTATTTTTGTTTGGGCATGTTAGAAAATGAAATCTAATAACCCATTTTAAGTCAGAAGTAAAAATAATAACAACTTCCATCTCCTCATCCAGCCGGCAGCTGGTGATTGGTGATGAGTCAGGAAGCTGCTCACCCTGGCCAAGGTCACAGACCCACCAGACGACTGTGAGAGACCAGCTGCTGGCTCTGCTGTTTGCGTGCTATTCTATCTGCACCTTCCAGAAGAGTTTAATAGCTGCAGAAGGAAAAGGGTTCCCCATCTCTGGCAGTCTGCGAGTCTGAGAGGGCGTGCTGTACCTTTCTTCGGTTTCCGTTTTTCATTCTGTCTCGAGTCTGGCTGCTCCGGGGTGTCTTCTGTCACTCGGACGCTCCGGTTTAATCCCACGCGGTTGCTGGGCAACAGGGCGGCGGCGGCGCTGCCAGCCTTGCCCTCTCTGTGCCAGGTGGGACTTGGCTCCGTTTCCTGCTCTGCCCCGGTCCGGACCTCGGGCCGCTCCTCCTCGTCGCCGTCGTTCACCGCGTCCTTGATCTTCACCTGCTTCTTCCTCCTCGCTCGCCTTTTCAGGCGGCTCTCCTGCATTCAGACACGCCGGCACAGCCTGAGCACACAGGGCCTCGCCACCTCCCGTTCCAAACTGTACCGGAACACGCTCACCGGCGGGCATCATGGAAGCCGTGTTGGGAAAGGGACAAGGTTCTCGACTCTAAAGGTCAACGTCTGTGTTGTTATTTCTTTACAGAAGGAAGATCTGGCAAAGGTAAGGCTTGTGAGAATAACAGGGTTCTGAAATCAGCTAAACTAAAACACCAGGGGTCTGTGTGCCGAACGAAGAGGGTTCAGGAAACAAAGGTCAATTTTAATAAGTTCAATTAAACCTTTTTCAGGATGTTCTGGAGGGGCTGCAGCTTCCCTCTGGGCAGGCTGGCCTTCTCCTCGGAGCGTGGGGGCTCCTCCTTAGGGGGCGGAGTTCTGCTGCAGCGAATTCTGCAAAACACAGCAAGCGCCCTGAGCAAAGACCCGCAGGACCTGCGTGGAGAAATCCCGCTCAGCGCCAGCCGAGACCCGAGACTTAACACACTGCGTGTGTTAGAAGAGGGAAACCCCAACACTGCACTACTCAGGATTCTAAGGGTTTCTGACATCTGACAGGGGGCTGTTATTAAATCGTTTCCAGGTGCACTTCTGTCTGAACAGAAAGTAGCTCTGGAGCTGCACTGGCAGTGTGGGAGAGAGAGCTGCAGGGGTGGTAGTGCAGCACATACCCATCTTCCCGGGGCCTGCCGTGCCCTCGCTCAGCCCTGCCTCGCCTCTCAGGCCCCTCGGGCGCGGGGGGCTGCACGCAGTCCCTGGCCACCCGCGCGCACAGCTGGTGGTAGTCCAGGCACACCGCGCGGAGAAGCCAGCGGAGCCCCCGCAGGGTCTTCCTCTCCGAGCACCTCCTGGCGTCCAGCAGCGCCGAGCTGGGCTCCTGGGCAAGACAGAGCAGATCCTCGAGCTGTAGCCCCCTCCTGTCCACTGTCCCCCCCACTGCCCCCCCCTCGCCTGCAGACACATGCTCCTCCACACCCTACCCAGTGACGAAATGAGTCAAAAAAATCTTTGTCGTCTCCTCATTCGAGCAGCCTTTTCTTCTGTGACTGGGAATGAGTATTTATAGAGGAGAGCAGCGAAGTTGCCCTAAATTGGGGTTTTTAGCATAGCAAGCCAGCTGTGAAAATGCCAGCAGTTGAAGACTGTGCTGTAAACCCCTTGGGGAAATAACCTGCAAAGATGATCTATATGTTTCTATAGATCATTACTATTTCTACTGAGCATTTCTATAAAGGCTTTTATGTTATTTATGTTTATGTTCAAATCAGTGTCCATTATCAAGCTTATGAAATTAAAGCAGTGCTGGCTAAGGATGTATACTGCTACCCCATCTAGACTGCTTTTGTGAGACTTGCTCTATATTTGCCTGCCTAGTGAGTCACAAGTCTAGTTCCCCTGCTCCCCCCCATGCTGGGCCAAGGGCAAACTCACAATGTGGCAGAGAGACCGGCTCTGGTTTACCAGCGTCTCAAGGGACAGGGCCTCCACCAGCTCGCTGCCCAGCAGAGCCTTCGGCTTGTCCTGCTTGTTGGCGATTCTGAAACGGGGAGGGAAGTTTCATCAGAGCAGACACAGCTTCAGCCTCGACACGTGACCTTAACACACTGCAATAATTATCAAAGAGAGAAGAGAAACTATAAAAATCTCTTATTTTCAGCATAATCATATTCTCTCCTAACAAGAAACCTCTTGGTAAGACCTTTAGAGAAATATAAAATTCCAGGCAACTTTTTAGATAAACATGAACATAGAAAAGCTGTGTTTTTTTTCTACTTGCTTGGTCAACATCCAAAAACAACTTTTTTTGTGTGTTTCAAACTTCCTATACCATTTTAAAACAAAGCTTTGGTTGCTGTTCGGGTGGTAAAAAAACCTTTTCCTTTTTCGTTTTTTTTTTTTCTGGACTATAGAATTTAAGATTTTTTATGAAAATTAGGAAATATTTTCCCAAACAGGGCTGCTAAATTAGCAAATCGAATGCCTATAATCAGGTTACTAAGGATTTTTTACAATCCGCTGTTTGGGGAACACAGACTGGAATACCCTCTCATACGGAGGCACGTTCTCAGGCTCATGGTGATGGAACTGCTTTGCATTTCTCTCTGGAAAGCATGAAACAACAATCCTGGATGGAGATTATCCTGGAGATCACAAAGCACCTTTTTTCTGTCTCAACTCCCACCCTTTATCCAGGTTTAATTGCTCTTTGTGACCAGGGGGCTGCTACACCCCTCCTCTGGGGCTCTCAGCAGCCCAGCAGCCCCTCCAGGAGCTCAGCCTGTGCGGCCTGTGCTTCTGAGGGGTGCAAGATCGAGCCCAGACCCAGGGAACCCCAGACAGGGGCGGCAGAGTGAACGAGAGGGCAGGGCCCCGGACTTCTGAGCAGAGAGCTGGGGGTCCAAGTCCTGGCTGGGGCGCTGCTGTAGTACCCCTGGGCAAGCTGCTTCGCTCATATTGCTCCAGGGAATGCCCTGCTGCATAAAGCAGCGCTCTCCAGGTCACCACTGTAACACACCCCAGTAATCCGGGTGGTTTAACCTTCAAGGCTCGGGCTGACCGCGCAGCTGCAAGCCTGTCCCGAGCCCAGGTGGAAATGAGGGGGGTGTCTCTTACACTAGGAGGGGCTTCCCTGCCACCCTGGGGTGCATCAGCAGGTGTGCCAGCAGGTCCCTGGCCTCCTGCAGCCGCTGAGCATCGCTGGAATCCACCACGAACACGATCCCGTGCGCTTTGCTGTAGTGGTCCCTCCAGGTCCCACGGCCTTCCGGACCCCCGCCCACGTCCAGCAGGGTGACCTGGAAGCTGTCCACTCTGAGCTCCAGCTGCACACAGCCGAGTGTTGGGGTCACTTCCGCCAGGGGAGCTGCAGGTTAGCAGGGAGACAGCGGAGGTCACACAGAGCACCCCAACATCACTTCACATCACTTCACACTTCACGTGGCTTCTTTAGGGAGCATCTAGGACGTAGTGCCAATTTCCAACTAATGAATAAGACTGTTGACATCACTAATAAATAACACAAAGGATTCCATTCTGTTGAAATTCTGCTATAAAGAACAACAGGCAGAATTGCATCCAAATAAAAATATAGAGGAGATCAGACTCATCATTCCTTTTAATTCACTTTTATGAGGATTGTACGTGACTCATTATCTGCTTCAGTGTTCAAGAGCAGACTTAGTGCAGGCTGAACAAACAGGTTTTTCTGCACAAAACCCATTTTAACTTGGCTCTGAAAGTTGTGTGCAGCACGTTAATATAGCCATACCCTTTAGGATTCCTCTGACGGTGGACGTCTTTCCTGCATTGTCAAGGCCAAGCACAAGCACCGTGACTTTCCTGTGAAGCAGAGGTTAAAAGAGTTGGCTGCAGGTGTGAGTGCTGACTGCGGCACTCTGATCTCCAGCTGAAATTGGGGCGAGTTGCAGTCACAGCAAGCAGGGCTTCAGGCAGTGATTCTGCTGTAAGACAGTGATGCTATTTTAAAACGTGTCCTGGGATGGAATACTTTCCTACTTGGAAACATGGAGACAATGGATAACATCGGAGCTCCTGGTGAATGCAGAAATGCTAACTCTGCCCACTGCGGGCGCGGTCTCCTGCACGTGTCCCCAGGGGGAAGTGGCGGCCCCGGACACGGAGGGGCCGGGAGCAGGCTGGGGCCTCACCTGACAGGCTGCCGGAGCTTGCAGAGCCAGCTGCAGCAGCCGCTCGCCAGGCTGAACATGCTGGGCTGAGGACAGCAGAGGGGCCACCATCGTCCTTTCAGTCTGTACCTGAGACAAGCCAACAGCGCGGACTGTTACAGCAGGGCTGTCAAGATCTCACTTCACACGAGGCTGGGCACTGAACGTCTTCCATTGTTCACTCCACAGCGAGGAAGTGATCCTGGTGCTGCTGGCTGCAGGTCAGCCCATCTTAAAACGTCCACACCCATGTAACAGCCCTTTTCCAGTGTTTAACCAGCGTTCTGAAGCCCCAGCTTTCCTGGGAGAAGCCTGACTGGAGTTCATGAATAGACAGAGGAAATGCTGCTGCTACTCAACTCCAGCCTCACAGCTGTGACAGACCAAGTATGAGCCGTCTGGGAGCAGTGAAGATAACCAGAGTCGGACCTGCCCTGTACATCTGTTGCCTGGTTTTAAGCTCATAATGAAGCCTGAAACCACGAGGCTGTCCCTATCTGGCTCACTCTGTTAGTCTGTGGCATGCCTAAATGTGAACATTTAATTAAAACAAAGAGTTGAGCAACTACTGGCATCTCACATGTGACCCCTCACAAATATCTGCAAAAACAAAAGCTAGCACAAAAAAGTACAGAATAATTTTCATCATGTGTGCACAATAAGAAATATGCAATACATGAACAGTTTATAAATATATGTGACCCGTCTTCAGAAACCAGCAAAATGAATTGTTCTCTTCCAGTCAGAAATCTGTAAATACCACTGTTCTCCATATTTATAAAGAGTCATAATGATATATGACTCTTTAAGGAGTCGCCAGGTATTATACTGCAGTGAACATTATAAATAAAATCTACTGTACAAAAAGCACAACAAGCAATTAAAACAATAAAAAAACAATTTCTGGGCACTTACAATTGGATATCGGTGTCCATCCTGCTGTGTCTGTCTGCCTGCTCTGTAGCATTTTTGCACCACCCAGCTCAAAACTAATCTGGCTTTAAATATCTGGCTAATCCTGAACTCACCTGATTTCGCTGGTGCACCCTGGGAAATTCAGCCCCGGCAGTCCTGACGATCATGAGCTGTGGCAGCCAAGGGGGCTTCCACCACATGCGTGTTTCGCACCCAAGAAAAATCTGATACAAGACACTAGGGCAGCAGTTACAGGAAATTACCTCACCCTCCTTCACACAGCAAAAGCCCTGTGGGCACACAAGCCCAAGGATCCACTCCGAGCACCAGTGACAGGACAGCTGTTATTGTTATTGACCGTGAGGCACACAGCACAGGGCCTGCCTGCGTGAGAATAGTCATTTCAGTCACTACAGACAGTCAAGCTTTGCTTTACACTGTTAATTAATTTTGCCTTTAGAGTTAAGCATAGATATATAGATAAGACTTTATTGATCCCTTAGGGAAATTGATGTGTTACAGCAGTCCAGCCCAAGACAAGCAAAAACTGACATCAGAATAGACGAAAAGTTATACAAAATAAATATAAAATACATAGGTGTGTGCAAAATATGATGATCATAGTCACTGTAGAAACAATAAAGTATGTGCAAAATGTGCATAGGTTTATACAGATTGTCCAAAAATTACAATGGAGTACCACGCTGTCCATAGACAAGGAAATGAAGGGCTAACAGTCCTAGCCTAGGGCAGCGTTATACACCCTGACAGCCGCAGGGAGGAAAGACCTCCGGAAACGTTCCCTTGAACACCGTAGCTGGAGCAGTCTGTTGCTAAAATGGAGTGCATGGAGTCTCCTAAAGGCCCTTCTGTTGAGGAAATGGAAAGCCGTTTGCTTGGACGGAGCGCCGTCTAGTGGATTCCAGCACAGGAGGATAAAAAAGTGCGCAAGAAGTATACAAATAATGAAGGACAGCTCCTTCACATGACCCTGGGGTTCATACATACAGTACGTGAAACGATCCTTTAGTCAGAGAGCGAGATCAAATTATTTGTGAGTGTGCAAATGTTAGCAGATCCCACTGGGATGAGGACTGGCTAAAACTGGGAACGCTGGAATGATGGCGAGCTGGCAGAAACTGAACAGATTTTAGTATTTTAAAATACTAAAACTTCTTGTCACCTTTTATTCTTTTTCTATACTCTTTTCTTTAAAAAAACAAACAATATTTACCTGTCAGAATGACAATAATATATTGTTTTGCAATACCAGAAATATTATTAAACATTTCCGGCCATAAAAGGCTCGTTCTCCAAACAAGTTTCATTGTAAGCTGGCAGGTGAACATGTTCATCAAGAAGATAAATAGCTGTTCCGCTGGACACACGTCCAGGAGGAATAAATAGCTCATCTTACTGTAAGTATTAGAGTTCCAAGGGCTTTTCCCAGGATTTAAAAATCACTCGGTAGAACAGGCTCTTCCGGTTTGCACACTTTCTTACCCTCCTCTGCTTGGAAAGCGATCCACTAGATGGCGCTCCGTCCAAGCAAATAGCTTCCATTTCCTAAACAAGCGCTTGACAGAGGGACGGACAGGGCGGCACAGTAATTGAATGTGACCCTTATCTAGAATAAATAGAATTACACCAGCTGTGCGATTGTTGGAGAAGCACGAATAACCTGGGAGGTGTTTTTCAAAGTTATGCAAGAGAAGAGCAAGTGTTTGAACTGTTCTCTGTGATCCTTAGCACATTAGCTCATCACAGGCCTGTGATCAGATGTGCTGCCTGCACTCACAGGGAGCTTCTTACTGCAACTATACAGCCATTCCTCTCTCCCTCTTTCCAGAGGCAAATGATTCCTATATAACAGACATGTGAAGGTGTCCAGTGCTCCAAGGCACAGCATTTCCGGGAGCCTTCTTCAATCCTCAAAACTGCTTGCACACTGGAGCGCAACGGAAAATGAGCTGCAGGCCTCTGTGAGCGCCAGCAGCTGCCTGTATTGTACACCTATGACATCTAAAGCATTCAGCCTCTAATTCTAGTCTTTAACCGCTTTATCCAGGACTGGTCACAGGGGAGCCAGTGCCTATCCCAGCCAGCAACAGGAGCAAGGCGGGCTACATCCTGGACAGGACACCAGTCCATCACAGGGCACACACAGACACACACCCTGGACAGGACGCCAGTCCATCACAGGGCAGACACAGACACACACCCTGGGCAG